CTGCATCAGGTAAGTTTACCTGTAGAACACCGTCACACGGTGAGTGTCCGCCACGTTGCGTTTGTTTAATCGAAATAAAATGATTACGATAATGTTTTATTTTAAGAAGAATATGCTAATTAAATAACGTTATATTTTATGATTAATAATATTATATTTTATTAAAATAAGAAATAATGCAGAGAAACTAATATTAGTGAAATAAGTTATGTTAAATATATTCTTGATAGTTTTTGTACAGGAAGATGTTGGAACAGTAATTTTACAATTTGTCGCGTAACTTTGTATAATCATTAGTGCTTCCGTTTAATATTATTTTCCGTTTAATATTATGTACTGTTATATTTTTTTTTATTCCATACCCAAGCAAAACATCAAGTTATTGTGATATCAAAATGGTGTCAAAATAATTTCAAAATGATTATTACAAGTCATTTTTCAATCATTTTCGATTTTAATGTCATTTTGATGTTATCGTGACTTATCTGTTTGAGTATAATCCTGTATCAATTTTCTACCTGGATTCTTGTCAGTGACATTTTCTGTTAGCAAGGATAGGATGAGTGGTGGGATTAAATCTCGGGGATTGGTTGTGGTTTATAGTCGAGGGGATGCATCGGAGGGTGCTTTCGTAGGTATATATACTCCTGTCGGCGGCATAGCGGCTGATTCGAACTACTGAAACGTTTGCTGCTGGTATATTCAGAAGATACCAGGGTATCGCGAGGGTGAGAAAGAATTTGTAAAATATCAGTGAACATTTAATTCGATCTTTCTATACAAGTGGATATTTGTCTTCAATTGATTTACTATTTAATCTACTATACAAATCGTCACGAAGGTTTATTTATCGAACGGTGAGTTCTAACTATTAATTATATGAATTTAAAAAATTATAATTATATATATTTTTGATATTTTAATCGATTTAAAAAGTGTTTGAAAAACTCTTGATAAAAATCTAACTGCAGATTTTCCGATTATTAAACTTATTGGAAATATTTAAAAATATTTTTTAAATAAATTTTTTTACTATAATATTTTTTTATTATTCATAAAACTAATACTAAATATATTTTATTAGCATTCTAAATGTATTCTATTAGAATTATAATTTTTATTTATGTATTAATAAATTTCAATTGCAAAACAGTCACTTTAAATTAGTTTTCTTTCTATGTAGAATAAATTATAGCAGAATTATGTTATTTCTTGATAACTTGAGATATAAATTACTGATGTAGTCTGTTACAATCTTTTTAAAATTGTATATGATAAAATTGTTTAAGATAAATGGTTCAATTACTAACACATTAAGAGATATTGTAACTTTGAGTATATAAGTATCTGGCTGATAACATTTTAGTGTCTTTAGTTTATTAAAGATAAAGATATAACAAGAAGGTAAATATAATACTTAAACGATAAGTGATTATGAAATAATAGTCAGCAAAGAAGTTAAAATATTATATTAGTGTTATATATATTTTTATTTTTTTGAATTCATACCGTAAAACTGAGACGACAATATCAAGAAAAACTAAAAACCGTAGACGTATTATTGATATTAATAATTACATTGTAACAATTACATATAATTTATTTAATATACATTTTTATTTGTTTTATTTACTTTTAAACCTAATATTAAACAAAATAGTTTCAGTGACACTAATGTACTTTTTTAATTTTAATTTAAAATGACTTATTTCCATATTTATTATTTTTGCGTTTTTTACACACACACACAAAATGCACACACACACGCATGCATATACTTAATGCATGTACCTGTTGAATTCTTTGGCTAAAATATGATAGTCAATTAATCTTGTTAATGAAACACAAGTATTTTATTTCAAATAACGGCGTTATAAGTAGAAACACGTTGGCTCTTTTTAGCAAAGAAAATTGAACGGTAAGTGTTTAGTGTGATTCTTTAATATATATAATTCTCTTATACTTAGATTCAACGATAAAAAGAATCATTAAAAAATCACTGAACGCTCATTGATCAATTTTGTTTGCTAAATGCAGTTATTTTATCGATCAGTCAACGTGACGAATGTGTCATCATCACAAAAGGACATGCCCGAAAATCAAATTTCGTAATTTATTTGACAGCTTCGTTATCGCCGTAATCAGTCGTAGTACTCCATACCTCGTATATATGTATAATCGTATGCATTAGAATACGGCACAATGAATTTTGCATATTCAACGAAATTGACTCGCGACTCCCCTTGTCATTTCGCGTTTCGTCGTTCCGTGGCAAGTTTATCTCTTAACGAATTTATTCCAATGATTTGCACCTGCCTGTCACTATTCGAATCGATTTCATAAGCAAATTAAAATTACTACCATATCCTTTGTTATTCACAACTTAAATAATTCCATTTTTTTTTTACAATTATAATTAAAATTGCGATAGAGCAGTTCAAGCTGAAAGTAGAAGGAATTGACGAAAAGAAAAAAGTTCAAAAGATTTATATTATATTTTTGTAAACTATTCTACATTTTAAAAAATATAAAAAAATATGATATCTTATGGTGCAACACGATATTTGTTAAGGAACAAAGCATTTCTTAACATTTCTCAAGAATTCTTCGATTGATTCAGAAAAGTTGATGATATTAATTAATTTTGCACGTTAATTGAGGAACTTCTTTCTTACAAAGCAGTCGTATTGAAGCGAACTTGCAGGAAAGCCCGCAATGCTTCATCATCTCCAGCTTGTACAACTTTTATTACGCATTAAAAGATTTTTAGAATTATATTTTTTTGATGGGCGTTACGTGTAAGACGGGAAATTTCTCCTTGGTGGAGAAAGAGGAAAACGTCATTTCTATCGTGAATTCACGATCACACATATGAATATCGAAGTGATGTCATCCCAGCATTCTTTTGTATACAAGCCTCACCGTATCGTTGCAGCAACGAGACTACTGCTTAAACTGTTCGAAATGGGGACACGGACGAATCCTATTCGTTTCTTCTGTTGCTTGCTTGTCACCATTATCGGAATAACGATTACCTGTGCCGAGCCGGAACCCATGACTAGATTAACTAGACCACCGCAGATCACCAACTCAAACGTTCAGCTACAGCGATACGCCGATTCGGTTAAAAATTTTTATCACATGTATGGAAAATCGAGGTAATTACATTTATGAGCGTTGATGCCAGTCGTTTCGTGATACAAATCAGTGGCAAATAAGGTTGTTTCAAACATAATTAGTAAATCAGTACACGATATGAACATATATGCTAACACTATTTGACAAGAAATGATTTATTTTTTCAACAGAACACGAGAGTCACTTTCTCTAGTTTTTTTTTTTTGGATATTGAATATAACTCTGTTTTGTAAATTGCTCCATCATGTCACAATTTTAAGAAATTTACAGTTAAAGTTGCAAAAAGGGCTATTTTCATATATTTTTGTCATATTACAACTACGACATGTAATGTATTGAAAAAATTTTATCGTCAAAATTAAGAATGTTATTAGAAATTTTCAAATCCTCTTAAAAGGATTTTTTAATAAATGTAAATAAAATTTAATGGAACAATTTAGAAACCAGATTTGTATTCAATATCAAAAAATTGCAGAAAATGATAAATCCCGTGCTAGTGTTTCTTTTGTCGAATGGTATAATAGTTATTTTACGGTTGTTACTTTACTTTATCTCAGATTAAAGCAAGGTTTACATGGAATAAATAACAGATAATTATTACATGCCATTATGATAAAAGAATGCATACATGAACTTATTGAAACACTATTGTAGTAATTTTAATAAGTAATTAATATTATGAATAAAAGATTATGAAATGTAAAAGAAGAGACACAAAGATAGTCTAACCGTACGTAATAATAAAAACAGAATTAATCGTAGTATAGAAATTAAAAAATCGACCATCACACGAGCAGGCATGGCAAACGAAGTGATGCTGCGCCGTTGATGGAGCTGAATGCCACTTGGGAGACCCTGAAGATGATTCAGGATGCGCAACGGCAAAACGAACAGCGAAGGCAAGAGAATATCAGACAGAACAAAGAGCAAATCCTGCTCCGCGACTTTCCGAGCTCGAACGCCAACGAGTATACATTATACGATGTTATACGATCCGGCTCTCTTTCGGACGTAATTGACAAATATTATAACAATGTACAATAAACAGTTCCCAGAACGTCCTCCTTTCTCTCTCCTAATATCGAGATTAATTTTCTCTCGATTCTGAAATAAATCAAAGTTGATTATTGTCCCGCATAATCGTAATGATTATCAATATTATGTTTTGCTTTTTTCTTTTTTTTTTTTTTAGTTTAAGTTTCGAATATCTTGTCAATGTGTAGAGATAAAGATGGGAGTACGCTTGAAAATGACAAATAGCGTGTCCAATGGGAATGTAATTTCACATCGAAATACACGAAGGTTGAAATTGAAAATCAATGCCAGAGATAACGCTTGAAATAAATAGAATTATACAAATTATATGATATAAATTGACATAGCACATTTGTAATCCTATTTAATCTTGCATAAATATAAATATAGCTTATGCAAAATTCTTTTTTTAACGATACCTAAGACGTATGTACATAATATAGATAAATTTAAACATCAATTCTAACAAACATAAAATTTAGTGAAACATAAAATTAAGTGATAAAAATGTGAAATAATGAGGAATTACAATTATTCTAATTTATTATGATAAGTAATGTTAATTAATGTTGAACAATAATTTCGATAATTAAAAGTTACAATGCAATGTGACGGTACTATTTGATGACAGCGGTTTATTATTCTATATATAAATAAATAATTATAGATTAACTTTTACTTCCTATGAAGAAAAACAGAATTTTCTCTTAAAATTTATTCAACTCTAAATATTATCATATTACTAAGCGCTAAATTAACTACGAAAAAAGTAAATATAATGATTTATTAGTAATTTCAATAATTTGCAAACTTGCAAACAATAAAATAAAAATTAAAATTGAAATAAAGCTTCGACTAAAATATTCGTTCTGTGTCTGTCATCATGTTCCTTGTTTGAAGGTGCCATAGATTCCTTTTTTTATTACCATTTCTCATTAATCATAAAGACACGATCTTTAAATAGACGAACTCCACAAACAGCATTCTTTTTTCGTGTGCAAGTTTTTTGAACAGAATCAAAATAGAGAGGGTCAGGACACGGTTGAACCCATGCTACGCCACCGCTACACATACAGAATTTCTTGCAATCATCGTTCGGAAGTAGCACTGCATAATCAGGGTCTTCTTCCGGACAAGTACCAATACAAGTAGATGGATCGAGATTGTCATACGTTGCGCGTTCATTATTTTTAGTGGTCAGAGTTTTCATCGAATCGTCATTGTCGATCGTTTTATCAATCATGAAAGTGCTATCTTGATTGTACGAACGTACCCCACAAACAGCATGCTTCTTTTTCTTACATATCTTTTCAACAGAATCAAAATAGAGTGGCTCAGGACACGGTTGAACCCATGCTACGCCACCGCTACACATACAGAACTTCTTGCAGTCATCGTTCGGAAGTAATACTGCATACTCGGGATCTTCTTCTGGGCAAGTACCAATACAAGTAGATGGATCGAGATTGTCATACATTGCGCGTTCATTATTTTCAGTGGAATCATCATTGACGATCGTTTTATCAATCATGAAAGTGCTACCTTCATTGTACGCACGTACCCCACAAACAGCATGCTTCTTTTTCTTACATATCTTTTCAACAGAATCAAAATAGAGTGGCTCAGGACATGGTTGAACCCATGCCACGCCACCGCTACACATACAGAACTTCTTGCAGTCATCGTTCGGAAGTAATACTGCATACTCGGGATCTTCTTCTGGGCAAGTACCGATGCAAGTAGATGGGTCAAGATCATTGAAAGATTGATGATTTGAGAAATAAAATTTAGACGTGTTATCACGTGTTTTGTTATAGTGATTTTTCTCTTCGCTCGAAGACGTCATCGAATTATTTTCGTCGATTACTTTATCAAATGTAAAATATCGATTTGTGTAGAGATTTACGGCACAAATAGCATTTCTCTTTAATTTACAAATGTTATCTACAAAATCAAAGTAAAATGATTTAGGACATGACTGGATCCATATCAGACCTTTGCTACATACACAGAACTTTCTGCAGTCCAAATTTGGAAGCAAAACCGCATAATCATAGTCTTCATTGAAACAAGTTCCTATGCAGGTAGATATGTCTTGGAAATGAAGCGTAGACCAAAAATTGTTTATTTCGCGTTCATCGTTCCTCTCTCGAACTTCTATTGTTCTTTTGTTCTCACTGATTTGTTTATCTATCACAACAACTCTTTTTCGGTTAAACGTACGTACTGCGCAAACAACTTCTTCCTTCTGTTTACATCTTTTATGTATTGAATCGAAGTAAAGAGACTCAGGGCACGATTGGATCCACATGAAACCATTGCTACATAAACAAAATTTCTTACAATCCGTATGTGGATATAACATTGCACACTTAGCGTTAGAACAGATACCGATGCAAGTAGTCGGATTGAAATTATGGAAGTATGGCCACAAATAGTTATGTCTTCTACGTTTATTATTCTCTCTCAGGAATTCCATCGAATTGTCTTCGTCATCGTCCTCGTCATCCTCTCTGTTAATCGTAATTGCATGATATCGTTTGAATGAATTTATTGCGCAAACGGCATGCCTTCTTTGTCTGCAGACCTTTTCTACAGAATGAAAGTAAAGTGACTCAGGGCATAGTTGAACGTATGTTAAACCCTTACGGCATATACAGAACTTCCTGCAGTCCTTATGCGGAAGTAACTCTTCATAGCCGGTATCTTCTTCAGGACAAATGCCGATGCATGTAGACGGATCAACATTATAGAAACGCCGCTTATACCAAGGGTTGTCGTATAATTCACGTTCGTTATAGTCCTTTTTGCTCAGAGATACCGAATCGTCGTCAAATATCTTGTCGACCATCAATGAGCGTACCGCACAAACAGCATCCTTCTTTCGTTTACAGGTCTTATCTATAGAATCAAAATAAAGTAATTCAGGACATTGCTGGACATATGTTGTGCCGTTGCTACATAAACAAAATTTTTTGCAGTCGTTGTTTGAAAGTAGCACTGCATGCTCAGGGTCTTCTTCAAGACAAGTACCGATACAAGAAGATGGATCGAGAGATCTGTCATATATTTCACGTTCGTCGTCGTCGTTTTTATCGGTTAGAGATTGCAACGAATCGTCATTATCCATTTTATCAGTCTTGATAAACCTATCTTGATTATATAAGCGTATCCCACAAACGGCATCCTTCTTTTTCTTACAAATCTTTTCAACAGAATCAAAATAGAGTGGCTCAGGACACGGTTGAACCCATGCTACGCCACCGCTACACATACAGAATTTCTTGCAATCATCGTTCGGGAGTAGCACTGCATAATCAGGGTCTTCTTCCGGACAAGTACCAATACAAGTAATTGGATCGAGATTTTGAACTATTTTATCAATCTTTTTAATATTGTTTTTGTCATGTGTTATTTTGCAGACATAATTCTCTGGGAAATCGCAAACTTTCAGAATAGGATTAAAAACGAGATTTGGAGAACATTTTTTAAGTATGCTAACGCCATTCTCGCAGACATAATACAAATTACAGTCGGTCTCATGAGGAATATTGGTGGTTTCTGTTATTGTTTTGCACTTGGTTGGTGTTGATGTACTGGGTATGTTTCCTTCAACGTTGCAGGCGACGTTCTCCGGATAATCGCATACTCGAAGCTTTGGATTAAAGTATAAGTTTCTAGGACATGTTTTCAAGATCTTCTCACCGTTGTTGCATTTGTAGTAAAACCTGCAGTCATTTTCATGAGGTATTTCATTATTTTCGTCGTAACATTTACTTGAATCAGGGATGGTAGGAAATGAGCTTTGAGGAATCGTTGTTGTGAAATCATTACATTTAGCTTCAATCGGCACATTGCAAATCTGACGAACGTAATCATAATGTAGACCATCCGAACAATCTCGAAGAATCTGTTTTCCGTCAATGCACTCATAATATTGCGTGCAATTACACTCGTGAGGCAACAGTATTTGTTGTATGGAATCGAGAGGACAAATATTTAAGGCGACTGTCGGTATAGGTTGTGGCCCAGACGTATTTAGATTACATTTCTTTTGCGGATAATCGCACATCTGTATAGTAACGTTGAAATGAAGTCCTTCTAAGCAATATTGTAAAACTTTTTCACCTTCAGAGCATAAATAATACTCAGTGCAACTATCTTCATGATTGAACGCTCTGCCGTTTGGAGAACATTTATTGTTAATATCGTAACTCTTAATTTGAATTTCGTGAGATGGAAATTGTGAGATACATTTCACTTCGGTGCTCCAATCGCAAACATCTGTTGCGTCATTAAAGTACGTGTCGATTGGACATGTTCGTAATACCTTGTCGCCTTCCACGCACTCGTAATACTGATTGCATAGACATGGATGAGGAAGTCGTACTTTTTCAGTTGATCCCTTAGGAGGACACGTTGTGCGAGGTTCATTGATAGCTTCCGTAGTTGATGATGTTGTATATATTGAAGTAGACGTTGTCGAAATTGTATCAGCAACACATTTGGCCTCAATTGGATCGTTACAAATTTGCCAAACAGGATCAAAATGTAGACGATTTGGACAAAATCGAAGAAATTTCTTTCCATCGATGCATTCATAATATTGCGTGCATTCACATTCGTGAGGTAAAAATACTTCCTGTACGGAATCTGGAGGGCAAATATCCGAATTGATTCTTGGCAAGGATCTGTTCAGATCGCAACTCTTTTGCGGATAGTCGCATGTTTGGATGGTCATATTGAAATGAAGTCCCTCCATACACTGTCTTAAAATTTTCTCACCGTTGGAGCATAAATAATAAGCAGAACAATCGGTGTCATGCTGAAATGCTCTGCCTTCTGGAGCGCATGTAGTATTATAGTCATCAATGTCGGAGGTTAAAATGTTAAAGGTTGGAATCGGTCGAATACATTTTACTATTGAAGTCCAATCGCAAATCTCTCTCAGATAATCAAAATGCTTACCGATCGGACATGTTTGTAATATCTTTTCACCGTCTATGCAGTCGTAATATCGATTGCATAGACATGGATGAGCAATCCGCGCTTCTTCCGTTGATCCCTTTGGAGGACATTTCTCACGGGGTTCATTGGGATTTTTTGTTGTAGTTTCTGTTGTAATTGTTGGGGTTGTAATCGTTATTTCTTTTGTAGTCGCTTTTGTTGGAGTCGTTCTAGTCGGAGTTATTGGAGTTGTAGTCGTTATAGTCGTAGCTATCGTAGTCGTTGAAGCCGTAGTTGTTGAAGTTGTAGTCATTGGAGTTGTAGGTGTTGTAGTCGTTGAAATCGTAGTTGTAATCGTTGGAGTCGTTGGTGTCGTAATCGTTGGAGTCGTAATTATTGAAGGCGTAATCCTTGGAGTCGTAATTATTGAAGACGTAATCCTTGGAGTCGTTGGAGTTGAGGTTGGACAAGGAACTGTAGGTGACGAAGTACTTCTGTGTCCACAGTTTACGTTTTCCAAATAATCACATTCACCGATCACTGGATTGAATAATAAATTGCTCTCGCATCTTACCCAATTCGTACCTCTTATGCCGTTGACACACCAATAATAGTAATTGCACATAATTTCATGAGGAATTTTGTACTTGCCATTTGGTTCGCAAACCCAAGCAGGATCTGAGTTTGTCGGCAATGAGTAATTAAACGGCGGCGAAATCGATGATGGATTTGACTTATCTGTATTTGGCGGAGAGTTTTTACAATTTACATTTTCCGGATAATCACATACACGAAGCAATGAATTAAATAATAAATTACGGTTGCATTTCTGAGAGATGGGACTTACCCAGCCATTGAAACACAAATAGTAATGATCGCACATAGTTTCATGGGGAAGCATGTGTGTTCTATTGTCAGATATACAAGAATCTAATGGAGGTGTCGGAAAACTCGGGGTCGTTGGCGTTGGAGAACTCGGTGTTGAAGTTGTCGGCGTTGCAGAACTCGGTGTCGGAGTCGTTGGCGTTGAAGAACTCGGTGTCGGAGTCGTCGGTGTTGGAGAGCTCGGTATCGAGGTCGTCGACGTTGTCGACGTTGTCGGCGTCGGAGAACTCGGTGTCGAAGTTGTCAGTATTGGAGAGCTTGGTGTCGGCATTGGAGTACTTGGTGTCGGAGTCGTTGGCGTTGGAGAACTCGGTGTCGAAGTTGTCGGCGTTGTCGGCGTCGAAGAACTCGGTGTTGGGGTCGTCGGCGTTGGCGTACTTGGTGTTGGAGTCGTTGGCGTTGGAGAACTCGGTGTCGAGGTTGTCGACGTTGGCGTACTTGGTGTTGGAGTCGTTGGTGTTGGAGAACTCGGTGTCAGAGTCGTCGATGTCGGAGTTGTCGATGTTGAAGTACTCGATGTCGTTATTATAGGCGTTGGAGAACTTGGTGTCGTCGGCGTCGGAGAAATCGTAGTATTTGGTGTAATTATTGTTGTCGGAATACTTGATGAAGTTGTCGAATTCGACGATGTCCGACATCCTGCACTCCAGGGCCAATCGCATACTTGAAGTTCAGGATTGAAATGCAATTTATTACCATTCTCATCCATGAAAGGGCAATCTAATGGCTTTCCTTTCACTCCCATGTGACAACTGTAGAATTTTGTACAGTCACTTTCATGGGGTATAAAAACTGTCTCATTTTGTGGATTGGTCTCAGGACATTCTGTTGGAATATCAGCTAGTGATCCATTAAGGGCAATACCCAATGTGACCACTAAAATGGCCACTAAGTATGTACCTAAAATTCGAACCGATATATTTCTATATACATATACATATAATGTTAGTTATTTTTTAAATTAACTTTAGTTATTAAGTTTGGAAAATAATATTTTATCCAAATAATCAAATTTATATATATTTTTCATATAATTTAATGAAAGAACGGAATATTTATAAAGTAATCACATAATGATAAAAATATATTTTTAACTTGTATATATAATATCTACGAATAAAATGGTCATTAAGTATGTGCGTAAAGTTCAAAATGATATGTATATATAATGATATATCAATTATTTATGAAATCAATTTCAGTAATTAAATTTGTAAAATAATGTTTTATTCGTCAAATTTATAAAGATTTTGCTTGTAATTTAATTTTCAAAAACGGAAGTATCTACGGAAGTATGGAAAATCTACAAAGTAATTATGATAAAAATATTTTAAGCTTAAGTATGTATCTACTATATTATTTTACGTTTTTTTATTGATATTTACTCACAACCAAACACAATTACTCGCATTGCACAAATTTTTCTCTTTTTTTTGTGTGTTCAAATAATTATCTTGCACATTTGTCACTCAACAATTAATTTATTAAATAATTCTTCTGTTTGCTTCTATTTTATCACTTCATCGGAATTCCGTCAGTTGCAAACACTCACCTTTCATCATGGAAAATCCATTCGCTAAATGAAGAGACGAGTATCTATTTCTTCACTTATTAAATTGTTAACTGACGAATTCCTCTTTATGAAATGAGTTTTATATAAGCGCATGGCGCGTTATCGCATAGTATATGCTTATCATATCTGACATTTGACAGAACCCTTCTCTTATAAAAGTCACTTAAACATATCGAAGCAGGTGCAAAAATATATTTATACGTATCAATTATAGGGTATCAATTAAATAAACGCAGAATAAAATTACAAACATTCATATAGAAAATAGAAATTTTATTTTATTAAAGTATTCGTCCATCATGGTGGAAATGAGAGTGTAATAATCTTAAAATAATAAAAAATTACAAGTTTCTGAACTTTGTTTAAAAATTCAATTTCTTCGATTTTTGTAAATTTATTTATTAATTATTCAAAATACATTCTGAAATAACAATGCTTTTATAGCGATTATATACACAATTTCTAGAAATATCTCTAATAAACTTCTTCTGAAATACATTGATTTTGATCGAAATTTTCTGCACTTTACGATTAAACTAATTTTTCGATAATTAAGTAACATAATAAATTAGCGTACAACTCGCGATTTTAATTTTATTAAATTTTCTTAAGACAGTTTTATTTTAAGATTTTAGCTTTAGATTTAATTGCAAAGAGTTATAAAAATTAGAAAATTGCAATAAATAACTTCTTAACATTTATAAAACATCGTGAATTGAGATACATATCTTCGAGAAAAAAGACACAGTTGATTAAAAATTCTGACATAATAAAATAATTTCTTTTATTTTATTTTCAAATAATCAGATATAAGATATAATAATAATCAGGTCACATTAAGTACTCTGTTATCTATTGATAACGTTTATCAATTTGGTAATTTGTATAAATAATTTTCTGCTTTAACCTACGAACACAAATGTACTATATGAATTTCAGTTTATTCTGCTAAATTTTTTATTGTTCACAATAAGAAATTAGAAAGAAGAGGTGCGTGTTCGTCCAAATCACCATTGTTTCTTCCATCTCTTCCAATGTACGAATTAGCGATAAAAGTGGAGAATCGCAAAACTGCACTTTTTCTTCTTTTTACCTTAATCCTTGTCTACAGATTTTGCCCTTGTTTATCTACCATGGGCAATCGACTATCCATGGCCAGTTATAGACTTGCTCCGCTTCGTGAAAATGTAAGCTGGATGGGCAGGACAAAACGATAGGCGTGCCGTTGTTGCATGAGCAAAATTTACAGTCACCTCTGTACGGCAGAAGTATCGTTTTATCCTCAGGATTCAAAATTGGACATGTACCGACGCAATTAGACTTACCAGCCTTTTCCTCATCTGATTCAGTCTTTGGATTCATTCTGGGGAAACGTCCTGCGAGCGATCAGTCGCATTGTTTAATAGTGTTATTGAAATGCAGATCATCGGGACACTTGTAAATTGTGCTTTTACAAATTGTGTCTTGACAAATGTAATATAAATTATACTCCTTCGGATGAGGCAATATGACGATACCTGAGGACGGATATTCAGGTGCCTTTACAGTTACTCCGGTAACAATAACTGCCAAGGCAGCAACAATTACCACATAATAACCTGTAAATTATAAAATGTATTTTCAATTATCAAATAGAATTCGATTTCTTAACATTCTCACTTGCACCTTTCTTGATGGCATTGATTAAGTGATTTTAATCCGGCTACATAATAAGGAATAAATTTTATCGACTTTTACTCGAGAACACTACCGCGATGGTGTAAAATTTGTTCTCGCTAATATGCGTTAAAAAAACCAGTAACGATAGAAAGATAGACTATCTTTTACCGGAAATTTAACTTAGACTTGGGCCCGTTTCTATTAATATAGTTTAATTTTAATCTCGGTTTAACTAATTCTTCATCTTTTTTCAGTTCTGAGAATTAGAAAAAGATAAAGAGTAAGTTGAACTGAGATTAAAGTTACTCTGATAAAAACGGGCTTTAAAAGTAAAATCTTGTCCTAGTTCTAAATAGATTTTCGAGTGTTCATGAAAAAAGAAGATAGAAAACAAACTTGATCGTGTACCATATAGATCGTCACTTCAATATCTGACAAGTAATTTGATATCAAACTTGCGTACACTAGTATTAAGAAACTCTAAATTGTTACTTATCACATTACTTATCACGTTACTTATCCCGTTGTTGCATATCGTGTTAAATCGTATAAGTCTTCAGAAATTTACCTCTCATTATAATTATTTATTAAATATCAAAACGTATTATACATTCGACAGTTAAAAATACAATAACTGGCTATTGCAACAATATCAATTTTTGTATCAATCATCTTCGTTTGATAATAATCTTGCAAGAAGTGTCATATCCCAAAAATGATCTAACCGTGCAAGCGAAATCGAAAAATTTCTTTATTAGAATTCACATCGATTTGATTAAATAACACTGATAATTAACTGATAAAATTATTCAACGTCAATTTCGAAATCAAATCAATTAATCAAAAGTCAAATTGTATAAATATATGTATTTCAAAGAATTTTTTTAGACAGCAATAAAATATCATATGCAATATTTTTATAAATATTTTTGTAAATTCTCATTATCGTTGCAGTTTAAAAGTTTTCAGATAATATTCAGAATAACAGAATAATCATATTTCTTGTTTACGTGTGAAATCTTCACGACATCGATAAAAATAAAAATGTTATCACAAAACGAACGGTTTAAATGAATTCTTTGAGAAATGATTAATCTAATATATGAATACACATATATTTGCAATTGTTAAGTGGAAGTCTTGTAAGATAATTTTAGTTAAAATATGTTTTAATAATCATATGGATCTTTTTGTAACAGAAACGAGAGAAGGAGAAAATAATCATTAAAACACATATGACACACTTACATGTAATAATTTGCAATAAAACTGTAATTTTATCCAGAACAGTAATCACGTCGTTGCATACTTGGTAAAATATTTTATTTTTCAATTTATAGATAGATAATAAAATAAACTTTTACGAAAGAAAAGAGTAAATAAAAGCGCGGTACATTGTGTGTAAAATTAATAAATAATATGTGAATCAAAATAATTATATTATGTTAAAAACGTTTACGTATTTTGGCTCGAGTCATTCTCAGAACGCAGATTATTTCAATTATTAAATATCCGTATTAAGCTTATAAACATTTTATGTATACTCGTATACATACTATATATTTGGTTTAAATCATGCAAAAATAATATGTATGCGTACTTGTTTTTAATTTGATCACGTCATCTGTATGTTCGGATTAATTTTAAAAAAATATAAGATTAATAGGACTCTCAAATTAAACAAAATAATAATTAAATAGTAGGGCCGATGATGGAAGAGTCAGACGCAGATCTCGGTGAAAAAATCAATTGATGTAAAATAATCGACAAAGTTTGTTAGAGACACATACATTTGAACGTTTCGTTTTAATTTCGAGCCATCTTCAGTAATCGCACAATTATAATATTAAAAAATAGCCTCACACTCTCTACTGTACGTGACAAAATCGATCGTGGATCTTCAAAATAAATGAGTATTGGTCACAGCTGGTTAGTCATTTGAGTAATCTACACTGTAAAAATATGGATGGATTTAACACCATGCGGTGTTAATGTAATTTTTACTGTATTAATAATTATTATATTTACAAACATCAGTATGGATTTAACGCTGAGTTTTTAAACTACATTATATTGGTATGTTGATATTATTAATATACAACATAGTAAGAATTATATTTATACCCCTCACATGGTGTTAAATCTACACTTATACTTTTTTAAAAATATATGAACTACGATAATTGTAAAAAATATGAATGGACTTAATACATGCAGTGTTAAAGTAATTTTCATTGTGTTAATATAAACATCAATATGGATTTAACGCTACAGTTTTTTAATCTACACTATTATTAATATCAACATAATGAGAATTATATTTACACCGTATGGTGTTAAATCCACACCTATATTTTTTAGAATATATAGGCTACGATAACGCGGTTTAAAAAAACAATGACATAAAAATTCTATAATTTCATAAAACACGTCAGCTAGTTAGAAAGCAGCTTTCACTTATTAAATGAAATAAAGAACAGAAAACTAAAATTGAAACCAGCTTACAATACATCGTGAGAAACGATATAAAAATAAATAAGCATAGAAAGAAGTCCGTAAAATTAATAAGTCAATAGACAACCAGCAATAAAAATATTTAAATGTCAGAGTGTGAAATATAAACAAATAAATAAATAAAAATAAACTCGTAAAAACAATAAACGGTGACAGTGATGTCATACGCCTTCTGCTTTGTAAGAGCAAAGCGAATGCGAAATATTATACTACATATATGTTTAAAAGTTGTCTAATTAAATTTGATATTTTCCAATTTCGCTCGCTTTATCAATACTGACAAATGAAATAAATATCGAGCGACGTCACGTTACCGATAACGACAAGGTTGCACGGGCTATGTCTGAATTTTTGTGATGGCACAAAGTTCACCGATTGAAAGATCAAGACGCGCTCTAAATTATTACTATAGATTATGCATAAATTTTTATTACATATTAAAGATTATTACGAGGCGATAGGATGCAAAGTGGAACTATTGTATAAATCTTCCTCAGAGTACAAGATCGTAGTTTACGCGTTAAACGCAGTCACGCGTGAATCACAATCAACCTTGTAAAAAATATAAATATAGATTCCGTATTCAATCTGTTAGTTTGCATGCGTGCAATCTTTTTTCTTTACAAATACATCCGTTATTTTTATTGATTCTTTATTTACAATAAATTTTTATCGTTTATCGATATCACAACGACGATTACCGGTAAATATAACTTAATTATCTGCGTTTAATGAATATATAGTAAAAAATACATTTCATGTTATATTAAATCGAGAATTCAAAATAATTATATGAAAATTTCCGAAATTAATGGGCTTAAATGTTGGACCAGACATTGTATTTTATAAATATCGTATTTCTTTTTTATCATCTTTGATCTAATTTATTTTTTATTACTTTCGATGCTTCGATAATGTTATACTGACCTGCTATTGAATTCTACAATTGAAAGATAAGCCGATACCATGGCTTATCGATAATATCATCGCTTTGTCTAGAACTCGGCGCAATTTAGTATAATCGTATGATAATGTAGGTATAATTGATGATAAACAAAAATATATTTTTTTTATTTAACTGCTTAGTATTTTTAATTTAAGATTATAGCAAAACTTGGAAATTACAGACATAATACTTTTCTCTCCAGATATAATTATTGTAACGTGTAATAAAATTTTTTTATTTTCTATTTTAGAAAATTAAATAAATATGATAATATATTTTATTTATATAATAATTTTTATTAATTATTGTAATGGAGTATCAATTATATTTTATTAATCTGAAAACAATGTATTTTTAAACGTATTTCTCAAGCGCTTACAATACGTAATAAAGTGCATTTTATTACGTATAAAACGCAATTAATCGACCATGATTATCCACCTTATCCAATTAATCATCATCATTTACATTACGCAATCTCTCCATTGGGTCGCAGTGCATTCGTAATAATGCAAAACATTGTAAGTCATATCTTTTTTTATCATTCGATTGCTTAATTTCAGGAGTATGATTTTACACGTAAAATGTAATAATATCTACATATATACACAATGTAAATTATCTAAATTATGTTTTACATGCCATCTATGCAAATAATCTGAATCATTGAATGATATACATATATTTTTATCGCTGGATTGCATAAAGTTTCTATCTCGTCTATATATTTTTATTTATCAATACTATATAAAGTAAGATATATATTAATAATTATAAAATTTATTCTTCTTAATTCTTATATTATTCAGCTTATAATAATTCCCCCATAGCAAAGGCGTCGCAATAGAATCACAACAGGAAGAAAATATAATGTCACTGTGAGATTGTCATAATAAAATAACACATGTTACAATGACATTCGCACATCACCATAGTATTGCTGTGACATCACATTCGTAACAAAGCGGACATTCGCATGTCGCTATGACGTAACCATGATTATTTTGATGTAACTGTGTTTTTTGGGGGTTCACATATTTCATATTGCTTATGTTGTCTACATGACAAAGATTCATATAAATTTAACACAAACAATACATAAATATTCCACGTAAACATAATCTTGAAATATATTTGAAATATACTCACCACTCTGTTTAATTTTCATGTTTCGATCTATTCGTTTATTACGCGAAGAAAGTGTTTGTAGGCACTGAGACGAGTAGTCACCCATACAGCACAAAGTCGCCTGTCAGTCGGTAGAAGAAATCTAAAGTCGACTTTAAAGTCAGGCTTAAATGTCGACTTTTAATCGGCAAATGATTATAGTCGGCTGTTAGTTAGCCAATGTAGTCAATTCAGATTCGACTTCATGATGATTATGGCTATGGTCCACTTGATGCTATGAATGCTTCGAAGTATTTTTTGATTGGTCAGTTAATAAAATTCTTTCTTCCGATTTGTTAATCAAACGTTTCGAAGCATTTGCAGCGTCAAATGAACCGCATCCTAATAAATCGCTAATTTTCCATAATATTTTTATAAGTTATGATTAGGGATGATCCACTTTACGCTGCAAATGTTTTCTTTGATTGGCCAGTTTGTAAAATTCTTTTTTCTGATTGGTCAAGTATTTGCAGCATTACATAAATCACACCCTAGATTGACATTTAGTCAACATTGTGTATTATAAGTCGACAATTGTAAATTTATTGCAGCTTTTAAGTTATGGCTAGGTTGACTTTTAGTCGATATTGTAGCGTTTATAATAAGTCGTCTTTTAGCTAATTTGGCGTAATGTAAATAAAATTTAACATTTTCGACGACTTGGTGAATGTAATAATTTTATAATTTTTTAAATGTGTTATATGTAAAGAATATAATGCAATTAAAGAATATAATACAATTAAAACGATCAAGTTTTTAACAAGTTTCTATTATGTGTAAATATCTTTTCGTTTTGCAAATGACCTGAAAAAAGCCATCTTTAAGTCATTTTTTAAGTATTTTGTATCATCTGGAATATATATAGCGCACATCTGGATATTATTAATAATAAATAGAAAGTTGACTATATTGAAACTTAAAAAGGTAATTTTTAAGATTTTCGAAAATAGTCGACATTCAAAATCGACAAAAAGTCATCATAGAATAATCGACTAAACGTCGACTTTATAAGTCGACTTAAAGTTTACTAAAAAAAAAGTCGACTATTATAGCCGTCAAACTGTCATGCGTGTTACGTGGGCAGCTGCATTATCACCAACGCCCGCTCGGATCATTGAGACTTCGCATGTCGCTTCGGCCCCTCACCCCCGTTTCCCGATCCCTCATCCGTAAATTAAATATTTCGGTCGAGTCATAATTGAATCCAGGTCAACGGGGCTATTTCCCGACCGCGTTCTCTCTACTCAAAGTACGAATCAAAGCGAACCTAGCAACACGCGCCGATCTTAACTCCATGCGCGCGCTTATGTATTAAATATATTTGGGACGAGTTGCCGCTTGGTAACTCGTCTGAAATCCTAACGTCGGTAACGGCGCTGCCTGTAACTACACCAAGCATTCCGCATTTGCCATGCACGCGCCGTGCGTGTTGGTGTGCGCGCGCGCGCGCGCCTCTGCTATCTCCCTTGTTTTCAGAGTGCGAATTGCGCCTTTCTCACGTCGTTGCACACAAAGTGCACGTCGCGGTCGTCGCTGTCGCGGCCGTCGTCGTCGTCCTACTCCCTCAAAAATAACGATCCAATAGGAAGCGTGTAAACAATGGCTGCGAGCGCGCTGGTTGGCCGCGCTGTCGTCAAGTCGGCCGTCGGCGGCCAATCAACTGCGCCGGCCGCGACAGCGCCGACGGAAAGCGGCGGCGCACCGTCCAGTGGCAGTACCCCTCCGTCCCCCTACGCGATTGCACGTCGAGCATTCAGTAGACTCGGCCATTTCTCTCGCGAAACGTAGCGACTCGCTCAACCGACGGTTTTTTTTTTTCGCGACTGCACCGTGCGGGTATACTCCCGGAAGTTTTGCAAAATAACGCGACGCAAAAGGATGATACACTCCGGGCGCACCAGGCTCGAGGTAAGTCAACCGTACGGATGCAACAACGGCCCAACGCGGATCCTGAAACGCGGCCGCGGAAACGCGCGTCGAAGTGCTGCCACACACAGTCCGGGGGGGTCGTGCGTGTTCAATGTTGTCATTGCCGAGGCGAACAGCTGATTCGCTCCCCTGGCCTCCGCGAAGCGCGGCGGCCACCACGGGCATCCTCGTCGCCGCCGTTTCGCGTCCTCATCGTGACCAAGACGACGATTATGACCTACGACAAGGACGACGACAGTGTGAAGGCGTCATGCGCCAGGGCATTCTCTCGTTATTGTGACTGGATGGCTGGATGGCTGGCTGGCAACACGCTGTCATTCTGCGAGACCTTTTTCATATGTGTGACGTATATATATATATATATTCTCATCGACCAACCAAGGCAATCGTGCAATAAGCGAGCTTAGCTAGCTGGCCTAGCTGTAGTCAACCAGTCAACCAGCCATCCAGAGCTCCGTTCTTTGTCCTGTCTTTTCTCTTTCCTTCCGTCCTTCCTTCCTCCCTTCCTTCCTTCCTTCCTTCCTTTCTTTCTTTCTTTCTTTCTTTCTTTCTTTCTTTCTATCTTTCTTTCTATCTTTCTTTCTATCTTTCTTTCTTTCTGTCTTTCTTTCTTTCTGTCTTTCTTTCTTTCTTTCTTTTTTTCTGTCTTTCTTTCTTTCTGTCTTTCATTCTGTCTTTCTTTCTTTCTGTCTTTCTTTCTTTCTTTCTTTCTTTCTTTCTTTCTTTCTGTCTTTCTTTCTTTCTGTCTTTCTTTCTTTCTTTCTTTCTGTCTTTCTTTCTTTCTTTTTTTCTGTCTTTCTTTCTTTCTTTCTTTCTGTCTTTCATTCTGTCTTTCTTTCTTTCTTTCTGTCTTTCTTTCTTTCTTTCTTTCTGTCTTTCTGTCTTTCTTTCTTTCTGTCTTTCTTTCTTTCTGTCTTTCTTTCTTTCTTTCTTTCTGTCTTTCTTTCTTTCTTTCTTTCTGTCTTTCTTTCTTTCTGTCTTTCTATCTTTCTGTCTTTCTATCTTTCTGTCTTTCTATCTTTCTGTCTTTCTATCTTTCTGTCTTTCTATCTTTCTGTCTTTCTATCTTTCTGTCTTTCTATCTTTCTGTCTTTCTATCTTTCTGTCTTTCTATCTTTCTGTCTTTCTATCTTTCTGTCTTTCTATCTTTCTGTCTTTCTATCTTTCTGTCTTTCTATCTTTCTGTCTTTCTATCTTTCTGTCTTTCTATCTTTCTGTCTTTCTATCTTTCTGTCTTTCTATCTTTCTGTCTTTCTATCTTTCTGTCTTTCTATCTTTCTGTCTTTCTATCTTTCTGTCTTTCTATCTTTCTGTCTTTCTTTCTTTCTGTCTTTCTTTCTTTCTGTCTTTCTTTCTTTCTGTCTTTCTTTCTTTCTGTCTTTCTGTCTTTCTTTCTTTCTGTCTTTCTATCTTTCTGTCTTTCTATCTTTCTGTCTTTCTGTCTTTCTGTCTTTCTATCTTTCTGTCTATCTTTCTGTCTTTCTGTCTTTCTTTCTTTCTGTCTTTCTTTCTTTCTTTCTTTCTGTCTTTCTATCTTTCTGTCTTTCTATCTTTCTATCTTTCTGTCTTTCTATCTTTCTGTCTTTCTGTCTTTCTGTCTTTCTATCTTTCTGTCTTTCTGTCTTTCTATCTTTCTGTCTTTCTTTTTTTCTTTCTTTCTTCGCTTCTCTCTTTCGCACTCCGCCTCTCTCTCTC